TGAGTGCTGTGAATTGTGTAAGACTGCTGAATCACAGACCAGTACCTCTGAAACAAATAATACATTATATGTTAAAAAAAAAAGAAGAAGAAGACAGCAGGAAGGGGAAAATGAAGGGGGGGAATCAGAGGGGGAGACAAACCATGAGAGACTATGGACTCTGAGAAATATACTGAGGGTTCTAGAGGGGAGGGGGATGGGGGGATGGGTTAGCCTGGTGATGGGTATTAAAGAGGGCACGTACTGCATGGAGCACTGGGTCTTATACGCAAACAATGAATCATGGTACACCACATCAAAAACTAATGATGTAATGTATGGTGATTCACATAACTCTAAAAAAAAAAAAAAGAATAAGTAAAGGCCAAAAACTCAAAATAAAATTGTGCAAAGATAAAAAAAAAAGAAGGAAAGTCTAAACTTTAAAACTTCTAAAGGAAAATATAGGGGAAATATCTTTATGACATAGAGTAAGGAAGGATTTCTTAAAAAAGACACAAAAGCACGAAGTTGTGAAGGAAAACATTGTTATGTTTTACTACATTACACGTAAGAACCTGTACTGATCAAAAGATATCATCAAGTGAGGAAAAAGACAGTCATAAATTGAGAGATGATGTTTGTTAAAACACATCGCCAACAAAGGATTTGCATCCAGCCTATACAAAGAACATATGTGAATCAATAAGGAAAAGAAAAGAGGAAAAAGTGCTGAACAAGCATTATGCAAGAAAGGAAATGTGGATGACCAATAAGCATATCCAAAGATGGTCAACCTTGACAACCAAGGAAATACAAATTACTTACCATGTCACAGGCATGTACATGCACACATAGTAAACACTGGCAACTGTAAGAGTTGGTGAAAATGTGGAGCACGAGGAACTGTCGTACCTCACCAGTGGGAGGATCAATCTGGACAGTTGCCGTGGAAAGGAAGTCCGGGAGGCCTAGAAAAGTTGAACATGTGTGCATCTTACCTGTATCAGGGATATACCCTAGAGGAATTATTGCATATGTGAACTAGGAGATGTGCACAAACATGTTCTCTAGAGTATTATTCAGAATTGTTAAAAACAAATAACCACCTAAATATCAGCAATATAAAAAAGCTAATTCGTCATCTATAATGCAACAGAATAATAGATGAAGAGATCTACTGATCTCTTTTGTTAAATGTCATAAAGTGGGCTGAAAAAAAGAAGCCAAAGAAGAGCTGTGAAAAGCAGAAGCAGACAAAACCAAACAATGTATTGTCTTACAAATATATCACAATATAAATAAAATTCAGGATAGTGTTTTTCCACTTGGCAGGAGTGGACTGAGAGGGAATGGGAGGAGGGAAGACAACCCAAGGGTCAGCAAAAGTACTGGTTCTGTTCTATTCTTCAGATGAACAGTGGGTTCATGCCTGTTCATTTAATTATTCCCTCATGAATCTATATGTGCACATTATATACATGCTATATTATAAAGATTTATTTATTTACTTTAGAGAGAAAGAGAGCACAAGTGGGAGGGGCAGAGAGAGAGGGAGAGAGTATCCAAAGCAGACTCTGCACTGAGCATGGAGCCTGAAGCAGGGCTCGATCTCACATTCCTGAGACCACGACCTGAGCCGAAACCAAGTCAGATGCTTAACCCACTATGCCACCCAGGAGCCCCCTACATGCTATATTACAAAACCAGAAACTTGGCAAGCCTCAGACCTTCACGCTCAGTCTCTACACAAAGTCACAATCAAAACAGCCTCAAATAATAATTTTTAAAATGGAATTTTAAAAACTACATGGCAGTACACCTGAAACTAATGTAATATTGTATGTCAACTATACTTCAATAAAAAACAACTATATGGCAGATTATGAAATAATCTAGAATTCCATCTCAAAACCTGCCCTCTCTTGCTGGTCATCCAAAGGCCTAGATCAATGCTCAGAATATTTGTTATTGGCCTGAGGAAAGAGCTGAGCGTTTTGAAGCCTCTAGCCGTATCAGTTTTCCTCCTTCATAAATAATTTTACAGTCTCCTCAAATCAGTGGAAATCCAGGATTCTCCAACAATAGACACGGGCACTCTTACTCCCTGGGGAGTGCTAAAATGGCAGTGATCTCAGGGCCAGGAGGTCTCTGCAGGCTGCCATTCTATACTCTCATCCCAGGAGAAACTGTTCTAGATGTTTCCACCAGGGACCAGCCTTATCCAGATTTTTATCAGCTACTGGGTACTCAGTGTTGCTCTGCCCATGAAGTCTCTAGAAGTCCACTCAGAGCAGGATCTCTGTGGAGCTTTCTGATAATCATTCCAGCTACTCTGTGGAATCCATTTGTTAAAAAATATAAATAGATATCACCCCAGATTGTGCGACCAACCCCTGCCATGGAGCATCCCTGTTGGCCCGCAGTACCTCCACTCACTCCCCGGGCGACTCGGTAAACGCTCCAATCAAAGAGTTCCTCCTTGAGCCCCTTCGTATCTTAGTGTAAGCAGCCTGTCCACTTTGCTACCTCCTGATTCTGGCAATTGGGATTTGGGATACAGTCTTTACTTCCCCCACCATCCATTTTTGGATTTACAGATATCAACCTTGTCAAGATTGAAGAGATCTGTTCCTTCTCCAATCTCCCAAATCACCTTAGTTTCATCAACTGCTGTTCCCCACACCTTCTCCAGTTCTTTCTTTCCTTTCCTCATCATTATGATACAGGCCAGCCAAACTCCACGCTACACTTTGCTTATCGGAGTAGCAGGACACACCTGGCACGAGAGAAGGTGCCTCTTGGAAGAGCCAAAGTGTGGGTGAGTCCCCAGTTCACAAAGGTGGCCAAGAGCGAGAAAGTACTAGTGTGGGGATTTGGTCATTGGGCAGAGATTTTGTGTGTTCTCTTCCTGAACAGAATGAGAGCCTTTCCCTTGCTGGACTCCAAACTCAAGCTGGGTCATCATTTGAGCTGAGGAAGGATTATGGTGCTTGGTGCCTTTGGATGCCAAGGCAGAGAATGAAAATTGTGCTGGCCTCAGAAGGGCTCGTATTCTAGGAGACGTGCGAGCAGAGCTGCCTGCAGGAATCTGGACGGAAGAAAGAAACAAGTGGCTTTAAAATATCAGAGTTACCTAAGAGGGTCCATCTTCCTTGTCTTTCAGGAGTGCCAATACACATCTGCAGGACGGGGAAAAGGACAGAAATGGAGTAATAATATCACCACTGCAATCTCATTTAAAATGTAAACATGGGCATGTGGTGTCGTTACATAGCACTTCTGCCCTCTCTCCTGAGCTCTAAATTGGATGTGACCTTCCATAGATTAGCGCTGCCAATATCTGCAGATCTTTTCAAACCGGACTCCTTGTCATTTTGATTCTTTGCTTAAAAATGTGGTGCCAACTCTTCGCAACCATTGTCACTTCTGGGATTAAAGAGGAAGATCTGATCATGGGAAATGTAGCTGAGCTGACCTGGGGACACGGTCAAGGACTTAATGCTCTCAGAGAGTCTGGCAATGGTCTCGTAGCTGCAGATTACAGTTAATAGGATGCCAGGATCCATTTAGCACAAATAACCTAAGAAAGCTCTACAGAAAATGTGGTAAGGAGGGCAGATAATATCTCCTGCCAATTAGGGAAGAGGTAAGAATTAGAAAGCAGAAAAGAGAGACTGTTATGCTTTCATACTGTTTTCATGAATAATTCTGGGAACTTTTAAAATGAATATTGTTAAAGACCTGTTTCTGGGAAGGTACAAGAAGGTTCTGAAACAAAAGCTATCCGGACACTGAAGTGAATTTTATACTTCGTCCCTGCAAAAAAATAAGGTGTAAGTAATCTGTTTACAGGTGGACCAAGAAGCCGCCCCCAGAATGGAGAAATGCTGGACTTACGTTGGTGACATATTCGATATCCTTCCAAAGGATGCACTCCCTGGGGAAATCAGCCAAGTCTAAGAAGTGATCCACCACCACTTGGCCAATTAGGTCATGGCGAGAGAACCTGTCAAAGTCATACACAGAGAAGTGAAGCTTCCGGGCTGCAAGGTCATTGTAGGGTACTGGAAACAAAAACACTTCATCAAACACAGGGTTCAGGGTCTTTCTGTGAACTTTAGTCTGGTGTTTGGTTTTCCGATCAGGAAGCAAATAGATCTTGACATAAGGATCTGAAGTCCCAGAAAAGTCCTTGGCAGGCAAATTGACAGCTTTGTGAATCTTCACTATGAGCTGCTCTAAGTCACAGTCATATTTTAAAATGAAATTCAGTTTCCCACAGGCTTTGCTATTACCCCTTGTCCCATCATCATTATCCAGTGACCGCTGCTTATATAACTCTGGTTTAATTCGACCAATTCCAGTCAACTGTTCCTGTTTTTGAAGCTGCTGGATATTGAAGTCCGGGTTTGACAGGTTGAGTTGTCTTCGGATTGAATTATGCCTTGAGTGAAGAGCAAGAGAGAACAAAGTTACAACCTCATTAGCCACGGGTCTTTCAGAAACTTGTGCCCGGGATGTAGGTACTGTTAAAAACTTAGATCTGTGGGGGGTTTTTTTTGGGGGGGGTCTAAATTCAAAATGCCCATCAATGTGAGTAAGCTGCTCTCCAAGGCTTGAAGCTCAAAACTGAGGCCATCAGGAAACGAACCTACTAACACGTGACCTTGGAGCTTTAAAGGTTTAATGCACTTTCGAAACTAATATGCCATTAAAGAAGCTTTTTCAGCCGGCAGAATGTAAAGGTTTGTACAAACTGCTTTAAAAATAAAATTGTTCACCTTTACATATAATGTCATCCTGAAATTGAAACAGTTAGCTACGTGTTGTCTTAGGGAGACATCTGTCTCTAAATCACATAGAATTTCCTGTCACCGGCTTATAACTTTATTAGTAAATAAGTACTTGCTGGTTCAAATCAAAGCATTTCATCATAAGAACACAGCTTTTGCTCTCGTGAGAATGCGTGTGACAGGATGCGTCCGCTTCCAGTGGACTGCTGGCTCTGACGTGCAGATGGCAGCTCCATGACAGCGTTTCCGTCATACCATGTGATCGGGGGGAAGCGTTATTTCTGTCATAAACACTAAGAGTATAAAAATTAAAGGTAAGCTGCTATAAATGTGTATAGGGATTCAGAGAAGGTTGAATACTGATATTTGCAAATTAAATATTTGCTGGCAGAATCTACTCTTCACCCTATAAGCTTATTGGGTTGGGTTAGTGGTTTCCCTGGAATTCTCTTTGAAACCTGCCTTATCTGTGTGAGTCCTCATGAACTGAGAGAAGTAGTCATTACACGCAAGGTTGTTTTTAATGTTATTTGTGTTTGTTTTCAGCCCAGAGTTCAGAGTCATTGTATTTTCTGTTATCTCTCAATAACCCTAATTAAAGTAGCCGCTCTCCACCAGTAGGTGAAAGGGAACAACCAGGCTGTCTCTGAGGGGACTGATAAATAGCTGGAGAGGCAGAGTAAACATCTGAGTTTGTCTTCTTTTCCTTTCTTGAGACTACTTTATGAAACAAAGGTGTCAAATGGATTAACAGACCCCCCAAACATGTTTGAAATTATTCTCCCTTGTGGTATAGATGCTGTTATGCTGAACACTCCTCTTCATCCTCAGTGTGCTCCTGGCCACTCATCACCCCCCCGGTACAACAGGAACACCACCACAGAACTGTCAGGTGCACCCGTCACAGCCAACATGGCCCACCGCAAGCGGATACGCCCAGGGCACATGCATTCCCGTATGTGCAAAAACCGTGCGGTCTCGAAGTCTCTGTTGTCAGATTTTAATTTTGTACAAAGAAATCCACCATCTTAAGCCCTCTCTGCATTTTCTGACTTCTCGGGGCGGGGTGGGGGGAGAGCAGGGGATGCTGTTAAACACCTCAAACCAGCTCCCTGTGAGAGTACAGCCCCACCATTCGCTTGTCCAGACACTGACCCTTTGCAGGGCTGGAACAGAGCTCCAGTCTCACCCTCCTGGGATCCCTGGGCAGAAGGGATTGGCACGGAGCAGCCAGCGTCCAGCCCTACGCAGAGGCCATAAGGGGCTGGGATCCGTTCTGGCCTCTGCTGTTGATTTTTCCCTCCAGGCTAGATTCAAACAAGGGCCATGCCTGGGTCTGGTGTCAATTCCTGCCTACAACAGGCCATTCCAGAACTGTTTAGTGATGCCGTTTAAAAAGATTTTATTTATTTGAGAGAGAAAGAGAGATAGTGAGAGAGAGAGAATGAGCAAGGGGGAGAGCGAGATGCAGGCTTCCTGCCAAGCAGGGAGCCCGATGTGGGACTCGATCCCAGGACCCTGGGATCATGACCTGAGCCGAAGGCAGACGCTTAATGACTGAGCCACCCAGGCGCCTGTAGTGATGCTGTTTAAATACTAAAAGTGCTTCCTCACGGCCACAAGATGCACTTTCTTTGGACCAATGTCTGATGGAACCCCTGTCCTGTGTCTGCGCTAGACCCAGAACCTGCCACTCGGCTACCACTTTTCTCCCAAGGTGGCTGCCGAGCAGACTCTCTGTGTGTAACAACTTACCTTTGGGTTTTCTGAGTACTGGCTTTAGACTCCTCACAGCAACATTTTGTCTTAACCCTATCTGTAGGACTAGGCCTGCCATGTAAATTTAAATTTTAAATTTAAAACACATGAATCTGCCTGCTTGCAATGGAACATATTCCATTTTACTTGTACATCTTCTTAGAGAGGAAATCTAAACAGAAATAAGTCCCATGTGTTCTGCTCCTCCTAACCACAATGGCTTGCCAGGCGACCAAGGGAGCGGACTGGGCAGGGCATCATGAAGAGCTCTTACTTCAAAGACCAAAACAAGACCCTAAATGCACAGGAGGCCTCCATTCAAAATTCCAGTAGAGCTGAAGATTCTTTTTAAAAATCAAGCACGGATAGGAACACTATTATCCACCGAAACGTCTTCCATCGCTAGTTTCCTTCCCAACACTTCTGCCTCCATTCAGAATCCCACTTACTATTTGGGAAAAACTTGAATCCCACTCTAAGGCGGTGGTTTAAAGCAGACAGCCGACTGTAACAGGCCATGACAGTTCTCGCTCCCTGGGATCTCTTTCAATCACTTTCAATTTCCTTTCAGGAGCAAATCAGGGATTACTGGAGTTGGGGGGTGGGCGAGCAGACAAGAGAAGCTCAGAGCAGTCAGGGAGCCAGGGTAATTCGCGACCTCCCTACCTAACCTCTGCAGCTCTCTGGGCTGAGACATGAGCAAGAAAGGCTGCCCCTGGGATGAGAAGAAGACAAAGGAGAGGAAATGGAAAATCAATACCCCATCGCTCTCATAGGCTGCTCACATGGAGGTGGGAAGGAAAAGCAAGTCTGAAACAAGAGAGAAGATAGATATGGAACAGAATGTTTTGATCTGGCTCCTGCCAGCCCAGGCGAGGTAGTTCTAAAATGGTCCACGGAGGTGGCCCTTGACTCCAGTAAACTAGAGGCCCCCAGGGCAAAGGTCTGGAATTTTAAGGTCACAGAGTGAGCGTGACAAGGAGGGATCTGTGTCTGAAGCAGGCAGTCCTCTGAGCAGGTCTGGGAAGTCCTGAATTTGGTGTTCTCGGGACTTAATGTGGGCAATGAAAGGAAGGAGAAGGAATGGTTTCCAAAGACTGGGGGTGGAAAGGAAAGCTGAGAGATGGGGTCCTTTGTAAATAAGTCACACTCTGACGCTGTCTTAGAGAAGCCGGACACTGGGGTTGAGATCCTCAGCTTTACCCACCTCCCATCCTCCCTTAGTGCAGGTGGAGGACATTTTCCTGTCGTGGAAGAGAGCTGAAAGACTGGATGTGGCTGGCCCACATCTGAGTTGGAAGATTGGTGGTTGAGCCTGGAGAAAGCCTAATTTCAAAGATGATTAACAAAATCTGTGAAGCAGATTTCCCACAACAAACTCAAAAACACTTTAATGCCTGAAAGGAATCTGAGCCTCGCCGAGTCGCAGCCTCAGGTCAGCAGAGGCAGGAGCCCAGGTGCAAAAAGCTTTTCCTCCTCTCCTTTCCTCAATTTGAATTAATGAGTTCCAGGATCCCACTTCGAGTCCCCAAAGTCTTGGTCCCTGAACCATGACCTAAAAAGCCAACTACTTCCACTGGATTTTAAGAAAGAGGACAATACCACAATTCACCAAATACGAATGTGCAAAGCAAGGGGTCAGGTAGGGTGGAAGGCACAGAGAGGCAAAGCCTAGTCACCGCCTACAAGGAGTTGGCTGGCCAGGGGGTGATAGAATAGTCAAACGCTAACTACACAGCAGGTCAGAAGAGGAGAAGAACTGACCAGATGTTAAGGAGCCACACAGGCAGAGAGAGAGGCCGCTGACTTGGGGAATGGTCATGGAGGAAAAGGTACTCTCCCCAAGCCTGGCTACTTAACTTGGCCTCATATTATCAGCCTCCAAATTGATGCTATAGACCTCAATAGGGAAATTAAGGAAGTTTCCATCTTGGCTCCCAGCTCTCCAGCAGGATAGGATCTTCAACTCTTCTGCCTCCACAGCTTTCTCCTCACATACGCCTACATCTTCCATCCAGGCTCTGTGGGAGAGCCAACGCCCATCATTCTCACCATCCCTTCCACCTCTGGGTCTCCCATGCAATTCCAGGCAACCCGCCATCACTTCAGTGACCCCATCTCAGAGGTGACACTTGGCTTATCCTTTCCCTGGTTCTGGGGTACCGGTGTCGACAGAGCTTCGGGGTTCAAGGAGAGGAAAGAGAGAAGCAAACTGTGATTTCAGAACCACATGGGTTTCTTTACTAGGTTCAAGTCAAGACAGGGAAGTTTGGAAACAATGGGGATAGGACTGTTTCCCTTCTTGGAAGTTCTCCGGGTGATAGAGAGGAGAGAGTTGGGTTGTCCTGAGCCACAGACAGACACAGAAGAGGAAAGTCTCAGACAGGGGCAGATGCAGTGAACTGACTACAGGGCAGAAGGAAATGGGGATCTTTCTTAGCACAGGATTCAGAGGCTTCCAGAATGAATGATATAAGAAAGATGTAAGCATCACACCTTTGCCAGTGGAGGTGTGTGATCAAGTGGAGTCGGGAACTCTGATGCATGACCTGCTTCTTCCCACACCTTCCACCCAAGTTAAACAAGTTTGAAATCTTGGTGTCACTTCCAATATTTTATTCCCTATTTCTAAGATGAGCTTATGTCTACCAACACCTTCTCAAAAGTAGCTCACAACTCATGCCTCTTTCCACTTCCATTGCTTCCAACTGAGCTCAGGCCTCATCATCACAGGCCTGAATCAGCCCCTATAGCCAGCCTTCACACTGTCCCAAGCATCTTAGACACTCCTGCCAGATTAATCTAGAGAGCAATTTGAGCACTTCAATGTGTGTAACTGGTGCTCTTCTCATCTATTTCCCCAACTAGGCTGTGCACCTTTTGAGGTCAGGGCTGTATTTTTTTTTTATCTCTTTATTACCAGCACACGATATAGAACTTTGCACATAGCAGATGCTTAATACAACTGTCTAGAGTAAATATATAAATGCAAAGGACATAACAGTTTCCAATAATTAAATCCCAGTAGAGAAAATGCACATTTACATCTAGTTTCAGAATCTCATAGGAATTGAGAGAGGTCTAAGCAGCTTCCATTTTTGAAGCCATCAGTTTATTAAAACCTGAAGAGATATCTAAGAGTAATTCAAAAAACTGTTGTGTTTAAATGTTTACATCTAACCAATGTTTTCAACACACACACACATACATACAGCTTAATAGAATCATGCTACTTTTAGAGTAATTACAATATTTAATCTTAGCATACCACTTACTAAAGTTGTGGCCAGCAATGGGACCCGAATCTAAAAATGCAATGACTGTCATCTTCTTTCAACTCTGTCAGAATATTTCTGTGACTCTAGGGATTGCTTTGTTCAGATATAAAGCCAAAAGTCTACACGTAAGGCTCTGAATGAAGGTAAGTCCTTGGACAAAAGGCCTTCCACCAGCCTCACCCCATATAGGCCCTTCCTCAGTTTACACTTCTGACCTTTTGCCATTCTGATCAGCAGAACACAAGTGGCTGGATACTGATGCATGTATTCTGTCAGTCATTCATGCAAAAAGTCTGCTCTATGCCAGGGGTTGTGCTAGGTGTTAGATATACAGGGAGAAACAAAGCAGATGTGGTCTCCGAGCTCGCAGAACTCGTAGATTAGAGAGGGGGTACAAGTGATAAGCAAACAAATAATCATTGAGTTAAGAGTTCAATCCTGTGAAGAAATGCAAGCAAGGCAGCGTGTGAGAGAATGAAGAGTGGGAAGGGGTCGAGGAAAGGGCACATACTTCAGACAGGGTGGTCGGGGAGGTCTTTCTGAGGAGGTGATGCTTTAGGTGGGACATTAAAGCTGCAAAGGAGCTGGAGAGGAAAAGGAAAAGCATTCCAGGCAGAGGGAACTGCACGTGGGAAGGCCTCCAGGCAGGAAAAGGCAGGGGTACTGAAGGCGCTGAGAGAGAGGCTAGTGTAGCTGGAACGGGATGAGCTTTCCCAGGTAAAGCTTCCTAGTGAGTTCATGTCCTCCGGGGTAGTGCTGCTTGGCGTTGAGGCAGAGCGCTGACAGAAGGAGACTGTGGCAATAACATGCAGGCCCTAACAGGCCTGATAAAAAGATGTAGTGTGGCAATTGAAATTTTTATAAAACTAAAGTGTTACCTAGGTCCCATCTTGGGATGTGAATCAGGAAATGCATTAGGTGGCCTGTCAAGGCTCCTTCTATTTTGAGGACCCAGGGATTTTTTAAAAATTGGAATAGAGGGGCACCTGGGTGGCTCAGTCGTTAAGCGTCTGCCTTTGGCTCAGGTCATGATCCCAGGGTCCTGGGATCGAGCCCCGCATTGGGCTCCCTACTCCTCGGGAAGCCTGCTTCTCCTCTCCCACTCCCCCTGCTTGTGTTCCCTCTCTCGCTGTGTCTCTCTCTGTCAAATAAATAAATAAAATCTTTAAAAAGAAATTGGAATAGAGATCTCTAAAATGTTCTGGTATTGAAGCATTCTGGGAAAAAAAAATCCATATTCCCAGAATATTACACAAAAGGGATTTCATCTAAATTGAAAAGAATGAACAGGAACTTTAGAGGGTTCTAATAGTAACTGAGCCAACTAGAAACAGAATGTTAACATGCTTGATCTTGGGAAAACAACAGAAAGTCATCCTGACCAGAAACCCTCCGAGGAGATAAAACAACGCCATCTTTAGGGCCTTCCATAGACATTGGTAGGAGCCGCACATATTCAAGCTCAAGAGGCCAGGAGAAGGTGAGCTTCCCAATATCAATGCTGTGACAGAAGCTATGCCGATGAGTCACAGGGACAGCAGGGATGCCCTTAACAGGGAGTCTAAGCCTTATGTTCTGTGGGTCAAGAAGGTGTCCTGGGACCCTTGGGACAAGTCACAATGGCTGCAGGAGGGAAGCAGTAAGAAAGAAAGAGACAGCAGTGAGGAAGTAAGGAAGATCATGAGGGAAAAAAAAGGAAGAAATAAGAACTAGCAGAGCAGACTGTTGAGAGCCGTCTCAGCACAGAGTACCCCCCGCCCCAAATTCAGTATCACAAATGTTACTTAAAAAAGAATGTTAAAAATGTTTTGGAACATGAAGGAAACTTCATTCATTTCTTCCATTTTGTCAGTAAAAAAGGGCTTGTGTTTGTTTATAACATAACACAATCCCTCAAGAATTAGAAGACCATACACGACTCATTAGGGTGAGACCATGAATCATAGATATGTATTTTCAGACATAACCCATAACACTAGGTCAGTAGTAATTTAGATAAGAATGTTTTAAATGCATAATGATGCAAACTATCAGTATTAGGTCAAATGCAGCTGGAAAGAGTTTAATAGTTTTCTTATGGTCAGATATTACTAAACTTGATTTGGCCATAAGAGAAGATAATTACATGACTCCAAAACTAAAATAAATCTAAATGTAAAGTTCATTTTATAGGGATAATTCCTTTGCTTTCCCCTTTTTGTCTTTTTCTCCTTCTACCCCATTTCCATAAATCAGTGGTGAAGATACCAGTTTTTATTTTTTTACCACAGCTTTTATTTTTAAATGAAATATATTTCTTGAGGTGTAGAGTACTTAAACATTTTTCTAAAATAAATATTGTGATAGAGTGATATGACTGCTGTCAAGTCATTAGAATTATGGCACAGTCCTCAGATCCATAATCTAATAGAAAGCACAGTACTATCTATCACCTTGTAGCGATGGGACGCGGATCAGAAAAATTAATGTGCAGAGTAAAACCGAATAGGAGACAATTTCAATGGATCCTCCATCTGAAAGACTCTGGTTATTGAAATACTGAAGGAATTTTATCCCGAGTCTGCACCACTGTATGAACTCCATGACAGCATCAAACAGAGCTCCAGTTATATTTAAGTCTGTATCTAAAGAGAAATCCTAGTGAGAAAATCTGAGGAGTTCTTCTAAATCAAATGGCAAACAGCCATCCATTTCCTCACAGAGGAATATTTTAGGTTTAGCTCTTCGATTCAGAATTGGAAATGATGCTAAACTAGGTTTGTGGAAAAATTAAATTATAAACTGTCATATTCCATCCCACTTAATGGGAATGTGCAGAGTCTCTAGGATAAACTTGATTAACATAAAAAAGGGTAAAATCTTATTTCTGTTTCTAGAGAACAAATAAAAAAGATTTTTTAAAAATGCCCCCAAACTTTCCGAATGACAGCACAGGTTATTCCTCTGGCTATCGCTCGAGCAAATATTTTCATTTAAAAAAAGCTGCTTCCTTTATCTCTCTTCCTGAAATCTCCTATTAAAAGTGTATCTTTATATCCAATGATTCAGAATTGGCCGTTTAACCTCAAAGACACATCCGTGCCCACATCTGAGTTTTGGGAGAAGCCAGTCGCAGTGAGAATGATCATGACAAGAGCAATACTGGAATGAAAACGGCAGCTCGGGCTTTGGAGTGCTTACCAGGCGCAGCCTGTGCAAAGCGCATGAAGTGCATGTTCCTGCTTCATTCTTAAAACCACCCATATGTTGCTATTCTCACTATTCCTCTCTCACAGAAGAGGAAATGGAAACATGGAGGCTAAGTAATATATCCAGGGTCACACACATAAGTAAAGCCATGAACCTGACCCCAGAGCCCTTGCTTTTAATCACTGCGCTATATGATTTCTCTACTGCTTCAAGCACACAGCATCCCACGGAAACAGTGACCCTAGGCCTGGTACTCTAGGCCTTGCAAACGCTGAAGATGGACAAAGGCCTCCAGCCACTTCGTGGACTACAAAGACAGCCTGCGTGTGAGAGCTCGGCTAGGTCAGAAGCACGGAGCGTAAGTCCGATAGCACTAGGCAGGCCGCGGGAAGAGCAGTTAAGGGCTCAGGCGCTGCTGTTGGATGAATCACGGTTCAAACCCTGAGTGCATACCAACATATGACTTTTTTACTTAAACTCTTGACTTAAGTTTCTTCTTGTGTGAAATGAAAATGATAACTTTTGCATCTCACGCAAAGTTGTGGACTATAGTAAAATAATGCACAGGAAGTTCTTAGAACTTGACATGTCACTATTCTTATTATGGACTAAGTGGAGACTATGTAGAGAGCTCAGGAGAGGTAAGGAACCTCACTGGAGCATAGGAAGCACCCCGTTTTCCCATATCCATGTCTCTGACACTGAATGGACGTGTGAAAGGTTACAGGCCCCGGGGCTCATCAGTGCTACTGCTGGCAAGGGAGGGAAGCGAGGTGGTCCCTGCCTTGCATTTGGAAAGGAAAGGGGCGTTACTGACCGGGCCGACGAGCTTGGCGCTGTGACTTGGCGCTGCACACGGACGCCATGGGCACAGTTCTCCTGGCCCCCGGCCTGGGTCGAGAGGGGAATGTCAGGGGAGGTGTGGCTGATCTTCATGGAGGAGTCAGGGCAGGGGGTGGGAGGGTCTAGGAAGCCCTCACTGTTCTCCTGCTCATTGGTCTCTGTGTCCGTGTAGTTAAGAGGTTCCCGATTGTTGTCTTTGCTACCAGACAGCAGGCCTCGTTCTCGCCACGGAACCCAGCAGAGTTTCCAAGACACGAAGAGAGACACGCCAAAAAGCGCGAGGCCACAAGCAGTGACCATGAGGGTCAGCAGGCTCACCGAGATATCTGCAAAGAAGCAAAGGTCAAAGGTCAGTGCGATGGCTCTTCCTGTGCCCATCCATTGCACAGTGTGGGCAGAATGACCCTTTCATCCCTTCATCCCTCAGGAGCTGGCCACAGGGCCACCTGATGCCGGCATGGGGACAGTGAGACTCAGACACAGCACAGAGAAGGGAACATGCAGGCAATATTTCAAAACAATGAACAGTCTGCTCTAGCAAGAGACAGAGTATATTCAGGGAGACCAGGAACGCCCTCCAAGTCAACTGAGACCCTACACCACGGCAATACAAAGCACTGAGGTTTTGTGAGCAGAGCAGCTTCAGCGGTCCTTAAAAATTACTCGGTCATTTCAGAGAGCTGTATAATAGAATTTGGGAACTGTTTAAGTCACAACTTTCTTAAACAAGAGAAACTAGAGTGCTTTCTTTCTCTTTTTGATATGAGTTTTAAGGGTCTAAGCAAAATGAAGCTCAAGTCCTCTGAAGCCTCAAGAATACTCCCCCAGCCAGTGGCCAGGTGCCCAGGACCCAGCGCCGACCATCACAGTTTGGGTTCCTCAGTAGCAGACCCTGAGACAAGTATTCAAGGGCAGATGGTTTATTTAGAAGGTGAAGAAAGCACAGGCAGGGGAGTAGGGAGGTGGTCCAGGGAAGGCAGCCAGCAAAGGGGGCTTTACCAAGCCAGTTACCACAGATGGACGGGACACCTCCTGGGCAAGCGTCACACCTCAGTCACCCCACACAAGGAGCATTTCCCACCTGCAGCACAAGGGGCAAAGTAAGCTTCAGCGGCCAAAAAATCCCACATTCAAATAAATGCAGCAGCTGGCCTGTGGAGGTCAGCAGGCATGCACCGAAGTGGTGAGGGTGAGTGGATATGCCGACGCAACCACGGCATCTGTTACCTGGACCGTGTGGCCTCCGCTAGGGTCCACGCCAGCGCAGGGGCTATGCCCCTAACTCCCAGAACAAAGTCCAACCTCCTCCAGGCTTCTGCCCCATGCTACAGTGGAGCCAGGGAGGCTGAGGCATCAACGGGAGCCCATTCCTGGCGCTGTGGTGGTTGTAAACCCCTTTCTTTCAAGGACACTCCCACCTGCCCCTACTGTGCCCCATTACACTCAGGAGCTCCAAGTATTCTCCCAGGTTTTGCCTTTACAGTCCATCATCAATATTTGCATTGCTTCAGCCAAAGTTTTCTGAATGTCCATTACGTGCCAGGCACTGTGCTAGGTTTTGGAAATAGTACAAGGCGGGGACATGACAGACACACTCCATACCTTCTTCATAGACTCATATTCTTGTGAAGGACATAATTAGGAATAAGTTAATTTTCACAATATCAATTATCCACATCATGCCAACGATCCATGATGTGAGACAACTGGTATTTCTGCTGAGGCATGCATGTGAGCCCCTACTGGGAGTCACTCACCTGCTGAGCCAAGCTGACCCCCCACTACCCATGTGCTTTTCAACATGACTCTGAAGGTACTTTGATCATTCTTATGAAATGATAAATCAGTTTCTTCATGAAAAATTGCTCTTGAGAGAATGCCAGCTGCCAAGGGCTGAGGACGGATCTAATGTATCTCCTCTATGCCTCCCCATCGATCTTTGTCCTTTTGGTGAAATAGTATTCTATCTCTGTTCAACAGCACTGGAGTTTCACATGGGCAAGTGAGCTCAAATCTGCCACCTTTCTCTCCTCAGCTCCCACTGCAAGGGGGTCAGCAAACTATCCAACAATTGAAAACAAGGATGGGTTCCATCAGTCCATCCATGAACCAGTAACATTGAGGAATTTCTGGAATTGTTTTAAAGGAAAGCCAATTAGTACTGAACACTGAACACAAGCAAATGAAGGGACACTAAGGAAACAATAAAAATTAAAACTCCCAGGTGCAGAGCAGCAAGGGTAGGGATGGGGGCAGGAAAGAGAGTCAGTGGGGGCAAAGTAAAGGGCACCAGAAATCACACCTCATGGAGCCCCAACATGAGGTAGGAAGAGGGCATGGTCTGGCCACACAGGCTCCACTGGGTTCTGACGGCTCACACAGACAGTGGAAAATCTGTCAGCGCAAACTTCTGGGATAGGTGGCAGAGCTGGGGATGCAGAAAGGAGGAGACTCTGTCCCAGTTAACCAGGCTGCCACAGCAAACATCAACTCCCACCTTGTCCAATAAAATCTAAAACCAAAACAGGCTCCACACCACAGTGAAATCCCTTAATACATTCTGTAATCCAAACGGAGGCAAAACTCCTCGCCTGTGTCCTGTCAGTCACTTGGGCGCTGTCCCGACACAGACACTGCTACAAGACACCAGCAAAGGCTGGAGCTGGGTGCGCTGGGAAGCAGTAGGGTTTAGTAGGGCAATGTGCTAATGATACCGTTATTCACCAAATATTTGCTCTCCCCCACCACAGCGCCCCCTATGCCGAGGAAGGAGAATCAAGCCCAAGCCCTAGAGGGTTGGTTTTGTCTACGTGACTTGCTCTAGTCAATAAAATAAGAGTAGATATGGCCCATGCCACCTCTGACCAGGGGACTCTGGGCTTCCACCTTCTGCCATGAGAAGAAATCTTAAATAAAGCTCAGTCTTCCAACTTAGGTGCTATAATGGGAAGACTTGTGGCACAGGCCCAAAGTCCAGAATGAGGAACAAACTTAAACCTGACTCCCAGACTGGGGCAGAGCTGCAGCTGATCCACAGATCCATGAGCAAAACCTAAATAGTTGATGTTTTAAGTCACTAACATTCTGAAGGTGTTTGTTACCATGGCAAAAAAGCTGACTAATACACATGACCATATAATTTATTGCCCAAAGCTGGGACACCTTTAAGAGAGAGAAAGGGTGGGGGCACGTGGGTGACTCAGTCAGTTAAGCATCTGACTCTTGATTTTGGCTAGGTCATGATCTCAGGGTCATGGGATCGAGTCCTGCATTGGGCTCATTCTCCCTCTCCCTCTGCCCATCCCCCACGTGCGTGCACTCTCTCTCTCTAAATAAATCTTAAAAAAAAAAAGAGAGAGAGAGAGAAGGGGTGATATTAATAATCACTTGGGACAAGAGAATTCACCCAGTACTCAGGGTAAACCAGAGCATATGGTCACTGGACTCATCACCCTGGTACAACATAACCTCTCAGGGTTAATGTGGCATAGACAACATGCTAAATAAAAGAAATTAAAGCCTAGGCCCCCACAGGGCCCTGACCCAACTCAAGAATGACCCCAGCTTGTTAGTTGACTCCCAGCTCGTGCACCCAAAAACACAGCTTGCTCCTAAGTCCAGTCATGGGGGATCCATGAGAGCAAGAATCTTGTCTATCTCAGCCTTGAATGCCAAACAACTAAAAGAATGCCTGGCACATAGTAGGCATTCAGTAAATGTCTGATGACACCCACCTAAGGAGCCCTATAGCCACTGGCTACATTTACCACGAATTATGGTTGTGACTTGCAAACTCTAGGAAGTGCTACTCACATTCATAATCATTGTAGATTTTTGTGCATATAGGTATTACAGAGAATTGCTGGCAAATGACAAAAATGATTTTTTCTTATTCACACAAAGGTGCCATGTGGGTTAGCAATGGGCCAGGGAATACCTTCCAGGAGAAACCAATGATGACCTACACAGACATACCAACCACTAAGCACAATCATCTGGGCTTCTATTTTGCAAACAACTCAGGGTTTTTCTGGACACTTTTTTCTCTTTTTTCAGAACAAAGTGTGAGAAAACTGTTGTGGAGTGACCATGGCCATAGATACTACCCACTTCAGACTCACGACCTTAGGAAAGGAAGAAGGAGAATCAGCTCAGAATCACGTAATAGTTTTGCTTAGAAGAGAAGTTATTTCCTAAGTTAGGTGGTAGGTACATGGCCATTTGTTTTATGATTGATCCTGGAACCATATGTATTCACTATATATATTCTTTGGCATTTATGGCATATTTCATAACAAAAACTAAAAAAAAATAGTAACATCGAAAAAATAATTATTCTAAAGATAAATTTTCTAAAAAATGGGGAAGTATAATTAGTTCTTTTGACCAAGAGCCAAGAGAATAACCAGATGGTGATTCAGGGATGAAAGGAGGCAAATGGCCACCCAGTTCTGATCAGATCCCTGGAGGTGCTGCTGCTTGGGGGTGACTGTGCATGAAAACTGTACCCAGACCTGACACAGAATACATTCTTCCAGGGAAGATGTGGCATAGAAGACCCTGCCACTAGGACTGACCATCAGAACTCTCTTCTCCCTGCTATTAGATGTAGCCATTGGACATGACGTACTATAGCAAGACCCCTCAACACCAGATCCGAGACACCATGACATCCCTACACTCAACAGATATCCCAGCTATATACCTATAATCCTAAGGGATCCATGCAAGCCTAAAGACTTGTTTTGGAATGGCAAACATTACTGTCCAATGAATGAAAGGCTTGAGCGTCCATACACTACATATGGACAGATGAACAGTCGTTGTTTCCCTAAACTGCAATGTGCCATGAAGAACACATACACTGACAACCAAAGAAAAGTGATGGGCCAAATGAGCAGCCCAAAAGAAGTTAACCAACACTAAATAACTTAATGCAAGAGGCAAATTAATTCCCATACTCAGTGAGATATATAAACTTGTGACTAAAACTAAGAAGTATGGCTGCGGTAGTGATAGAATCAGACAGGCCCGAGATCCCAGCTGATCTAAGAAAAGAAGATTGTAGCTCCTAGAATTCTACAGCTAGCCACATTATCACAAGAGAGAAAAAAAAAAAAGGCATTTTCAAGCAGTCGATGACTCAGAAAATATACCATTCTCCTTCTTAAGGATAAACCTTCTCCTGCATAAAACCTAAGGAAATTCTCCAGACAAATACAAATTTATGTCAGAATAGAGAACCCAAGAAAGGAAGGACATACTACATAAGACACACACTTACATACTGTGTACCACAAGAATTAGTGATAAGCAAAGGAAACAGCACAAAGTGCATTAAATCTAAATAACTGCTGGTTATGAGGTTATGAAGTTTA